TATTCTTTACCACAGACATTTTATGAAAAGAGTTTTAATGCTTTTATTAATACAAAAGTAATTTCTATAATTTTTGTATTATATATATATATATATATATATACTAAGTTTCAGTTTTTCTACTGTTAATAACAATTTTTATGCATAAAAAATTCTCTGCACATATTTTATCAAAGTAAGCCTGTTAATATACTAATTTAAACAAAATAATAATAACTATCTTTGCAATTAACGGGAAAAAAATATCGGTATCAAAGAAGGAAAAACTAGTAATGTAATACGGGTGTATTGCCTAAAACAAAAATACAGATCAGGAGGATAAATATTTATGTAAGAGCAAAAGGGATGGATAACTGACATTGTTTCCGTATTTCCCGCAAGACAGGATCAGTCCCAAATATTTATCCACCCGGAGGAAAATAACGCTATGATGAATGTTTTTATTTGACTAGAATTCTCCTTTTTTTTTATTCTAAGTAGTGTAACTCTACCTGAATATGTTTGTCACTCCATATTTATCTTTGATAGCACGTTTCATTCTTAGTGTATTTTTACAAACTTTAATTCTCATTAGGTTAACGAAAAAAAGTTCCAAATTTAGGCTATTTCTCCCTTAGGATGCAGTGTTATTGAATTTGCGTTTCTACAGTTAGACTATCCTAATAGATTTATCTCGTCAATCTTTTTTTTTTACCTCCGTGTTAATTTGAATTTTACTCTTTTTCTTTTCCTGTCGGGGGTCCATGTTAAATTAATTCTACTGGGATCAACTGATAGCATTTTTAATGCTCGTATATTCGTATATATCACATCCAGATACATTTTGGTTTTTTATTTCAATTATATTGGGTATTGTGTTTGTCTTGTTGCAAAAAAGTTTTGCCAGTTGTTTTTGTTGTTTTTTATCTTTGTTGTTTCCAGATGTTTTTTGCCAGTTCTTCAATTCTCCGGAGGTACTCCGTTTCGATGGCATCGACATCTCTCTTCTTTTCGTTTCTATAACTAATTACGCTTATAATGGAGTAAAATTTAATTGCGTGGCAGATATTTGTGGTTTATTTTTATTTAATTTTCTGTCATATTTGTTTACATTTAAAGACTTTGCAATTAAATATAATTGTACATGCATGGTATGTAATTTTTTATTCTTGCTGTGTCTTCATAGAAAAACAATTGTAATTGGCATTTCACTTAGATACACAAAATCATTGGTAAGTAAAGACAAAACATTTTAGGAGCGTGCTATACGGAGAAGAAAAATCAGGTAAAATTAAAGTACTGAACGATTCTAGTGAAAAGTAAAAAGAAAAAAAAATTCTGTGTAGTAAAACCAAAATATACGGTATTTTAACCTATTCTTTCGTTAATTTTTCCGCTCATATGGTAAAGATTCGCCCAAAATTATAGTTCTTATTATCAAACATTTAGTGAAATATTCAAAAATGAAAAGTAACTTTTAACCGAATAGGTGTTTTTCATGACATGCTCTAAGGTATCATTACAAAATTATTATATTTACCAAATTTTAACTCAATAAATTTATTAGAAGTCAGTTACGTAATCTATCGCGCCAGAGGAAAAAAATTGAATTAAGAAAAACAGATTTGAGGACATAACTTTGAATAATGAATTTTTACACAAAATGTTTGAGTTTGTAAACGATTCCAATTTAGAAAATGGATGAGTTATTTGTATTTTTAGTGAGTGGTTTTCCGTCTTTTTCTGGAACTTCTTTAGGTATTATCTTACATTTGGTGTCAAAATACAAGACTATGTAACATGTAACAAAATACAATAAAAAGTTTTGTTTTCTTCAAAAAAAAAACATTTTGATATTAAAATTATCTAGACTAATTAAGGTATTATTTTCAGGAAATAAAAGCTGATTTTTTCAACAAATTTTAAAGTATTTCGTTGAGTCAGAGATATTCGATTTTCTTCTTATAAAAAAAACTTTCGATGTGGGCTGATGTTGATAAGAAGGTGTAGCCCACATTCAAATCGAACCATTGAATTGTGATGCTTTAAAAATAGGAAAACATGAAATAGGTGTGTATGCGCACAAGCTCATCTAAAAAAGCTATTTTTATACCCCATGCTTGCACTGCCTTAGAACAGAGTCAATAACTTCTTCCGAGAAAAGTTTACAAATGATTTTCATGGCAAGGTTGTGTAAATGTTGACTCGACATGTGCCAGACAGGTTACAGCGATTAAAGTAGAATTTTCTCAGACGTCCTTTTTCTTTGGCAGGTAATTTCTTGTGAAAACAAAACGATGCCTTTCAAAATAAATTTGAAAATGGGGATGTATACAAATTATTTGATGTTTGCATGTTTCAATAGTCTATATTTTCTGGTTTTCAAAAAAATTGTGCGAAGTGTCACGCGTAATTTAGCTAATACTTCCTGTCACTATTCAACTATTTATAATGAATAGTTGTTTATATGATTTATTGAAATTACATACATTTGCTGACTTGTGTGCTCAATATAGGCTTATAAGTCCTTGTCAAGTAGAAAATACAGATAGAACAATTCAGTGAAAGACATCACAAAGAATACATCCAGGGTTACGGCGGGATTCGAACCCGCTACCTCCACGCTTAACAGAGCGTTTGGACCGGCGATACCGCTCGGTCAGGGAGGCCCCTTGTTTATATGAGTTGTAATTACAACTTTAATTAATAACTTTAATTAATAATCACAACTTTAATTAATAACTTTAATTAAACAATATTTAAAAAACTTTAAAGGATACCCCAAAAGAGGCAAAATATTAAATAAATTATTCCCGGAAGCTGAAGCTTTAAGATCTTACTTGATGAAAACTTCATTTGTTTCAAAAATAAACAGATTGGATATAACAGTCGTTATGTTGTTTAAAAGGCTCGAAAATTTGTGCCTATTTTCAACACTTACCAGACGCGAATTTGAAGAAATAAATATTATTTGAAATATAAAATGAAGAGTTGCCTACAAAAAATAGAAAATAAAGGTGAGAAACAAAACTAAAAAATCCTCAGTAGCAGAGAGTGAATAAAAATAAATATGTAAGAATAGAACAAGAAAAGCCAACGTGGAAAAGAGGGGCAAATCAGGGTAAAATGCATTTCCACTGGCTGTGGAGGGGTGTGAAGAGCTAATGTCAATAACAAGGCAATCAGCATTCATATGAACAAAATAAGATTTCAAGGCATTAGAATGAGCTGATGTGGCTGAGGGGAAAATAGTTTTGGCATCGTCGATATTGAATTTATGTAGAAGATTCCAGCTTTTTTTAAGAAATCATGTTTTCTCGTATTCTTGATAACGGACATATCTATCGTATTTTATCAATATTGAATTTCTTTTGTATCGATATTGAATTTCTATCGTATTTTATCAATATATGTCTGAAATAGCCAAATATGAAGTCCAAATAAGACGTTATATATATACAATTTAGTCCAAATATGACGTTATAATATCAACTTGTTATATCAAAAATCCATTTACTGCCAATAGCTGATAGAATTGGTAGACCAAATTGAATATTTCAGCAGAGCAATGCCTTTAATTTTTGTTGCAATACCATCATAGGAAGAGATCTTTAATAATAGGAACATGCAATGGAATAATCGTCCCTTTCCATTGTTCTCAATCCCCGAAAGCAGAAAGGCATATTTTTTTGGCAAGAACACCTTGGCAAAAGATTTTGTCTGCAATTGGACAGGCTATTCTGATGCGTCAAAATTCTTGAAATTGAAGTTCAGTTCAATTTATTCATATATTAGTAAAGCAGTTTCTACCTGTTAGTGTAATCATGGGGGAGAAATTTCTTTTTCCTGCGACTTAGTTTTGGCTACCAATTGGCGACAGAAATCTCTCATAAATTTTAACATTTGTAAATTTATCAAGAAATTCTTGCTTGGCTTTCTTTCTAAAAAAACAACTCAGAATTTGTTACATGGACGTGGCTGTATATCGAGTCTCATGGCTCTAGCATTCTAGCATCTTTGAGTATTTAGTATAATTTCTAATTTAATATAGTCATATAGAATTTTCATTTCGAATTTGTTTAATACAATTTTAATCATATTAATATATTAATCGCTTCGATTTGAATGCTAACAATCATCTTGAACCCTTTTTGTGCATTGTTGCTAACGCTTCAGTAACTAATCCCACAAAAAAGCGCTATACTGCTTGTGAATGAAGAGTATATAATAAAAAAGGACGTATATGATAAACGTCCTTTTTTATGCTCATATTTCCATGTAACTAATGATGTACGCCCTACATTGGACGTCCACAAAAAAGAGCTGTACTGCTTATGAATGAGGGGTATATCATATAAAGGAAGCATATCATATAGGTAATTTTTTATGCACATGATATTTATATGTAACTGATGATATATACCCTACAAAGAACGTATATCATCAGTAACCTTCAAATCAATCTTAACAAAAATAGATTGTGTCAGTGGTGGTTCAGTAAGTATTACTGAAGTGCAGTTAATTGTATACATGTAATTTTCAGTCTTGAAATTTAAGATTTAAACCATGTGCTTCCAAAAAATTTTTTTAAAATTAGAACCATTTCTAAACATTTTAAAACTCATCATTCAACTTTTCAAGTGTTTTATCAAAATACTTCAATTTATTCTACCATGTTTTGAAAAGACATTTTTTTAATAAAAAAAAAACGTTTTCTCAGTTGTAAAATATTGTTTGTTAATACTGAGTGTCCTGATGTTTATCAACCAGATGTAAGCCAATGTGGATTCTCTTTCAATATAAGGTTAATTCTAATAATTCTTTCTCTTGTCTTCAACTGAAACCAATTGAATAGAGATATCACAAATAATAGCTTGCTCTTTGTTGCATCACACTAACATCAGTATTAAGATCCAATTGTGTTATTAGCGACTTTGGAAGATAAATTAAATAAACTATATTTTAAAGTACGTCTGCGTATGGAAATTACAGTCCTTCTTGCACTCTCAAATTAAACACACTCAAGCATGCAGGCTCTGGGGAGCCCATTTATTATAAAACAACCTAGTTCCACTACGGAACTTGTGAAGAATCTACATTCAAGAGCTTATAGGATTCCATGGAAAAATGCGAAATTTAACTACAGGCTGTCTCCAAAGGTCTTTGCCAAGCTAAGTACGTGCCAGTCGGTCATATCACGATGAACAAAATTTACATGGAAACTTGAGTCCGAAAATTCAAGCTGCGACAGCTGTTGGATAATTGGCAATGTTTGCAGGCGTAGAGAGGTATAAAAAAAGGATGTTGAAAGAGGTGTCAGTATGACTTTTATTAAACAATATCGTTAAATTACAGAAAATATTTAAAATTCCTCCCGTTCGCAACAATGCAAACTTCATAACAGCAGTTTCTTATAGTATGGATCCTTCTCCTGCAACGTCATCGCCTGAAATGGTTACTTTTCTGACTCTCCTATCAACCTGCGGGCATAACTCGCTAGCTGTTGCATTTTCGAAAACAAGTTCCAATGTAAATCATGTTCATTTTGATATGGCAGACCGGCACTTTAAGTTTGTCAATGACCTTTTTAGACACTCTGTATAATGTAAAAATTTATAAAGCTGTGGTATTTTTCCGTATTGTTAATGATTGGGGTTCATGTTGTCATGTTCTCTCATTGTTGACCATTCCATTAGGTTTTTTTCCCCTTTTTTTTCTTTTTTTTTACTCTCTTAAATTGAACATCAATTTTTCAATGATTTATGCATTGCTCAAGAGTATTTACAACTTTTTTTTATGAAATGGATGTGCAAATACATCTAAACTCAAGAATCTAATGGGAGTTCTTCATGTAAATATTTATCTTTTCCCGAGTTAAAGTCAGTAACGGTATTTCCGGAACCGTATAAAATCCATTTAGTGGTTAAAAGACCTTCAACTCCAACAGGACCACGGGCATGAATTCGTGTGGTAGAGATGCCGACTTCTGCTCCTAAAATATTAAAAAAAAATGAAGGATCAACATTAAATTGGATAAAAAGAGGAATACTTTCATTTTAATTTTTCTTTAAAATATCTTTCATATAATTCAATATTATTCAATTTAGAATTATGTGTTTTAAATACTATACTACGCATCTTATAATTATAATCATTTAAACTTCTTCATATAAATCACCAGCTAACTAAAAATTGAATAAATAGAGAATAAAACATTAAACGAATCGTAGTCTACGAATTCATTACCTTTTTCTATAAATTTATTTTTCAGTATGCGAAGAAAAAAAATTCTGGTAAAATTATCACACTGTATAATAAGTTTTAAGGTAAACCCCTCCCCATAATTCTGGTAATTAAACGAAAATATATGGTATTTACAAACTATTTATTTGGTAATTTTTTTCGTTCAAATGGTAACGGTTTACAGTAAATTCTGGTTTTCAAAATTATTGTTTATATTGCCACACATTTAGTAAAAAATACAAAATTGAAAAAATACTTTAACCGAACAAATGTTTGCTCTTTATCAAAAATCTTGGTAAAATTACCTAATTTCGCCACATTTACCAAATTTTTATCACATATCCACAACGCAATGTCTTATGGTTAATTTAACTAAAATCAATACCAATGCGCTTCGGAAAAAATTACCGAGTTTTTTAGTGTTTCTATAGATCTAGAACCAAGGTAAATTTAACCATATTCTGGTAGTTTTGACCATTTTTTTTTCTCAGTGCAGAATATGATATATGATTTCAACTAATTTTTTTTATCAGAAAAGAAAATAAGTTGACAAAAAATAAACTTCCTCTGATGAAATATATAGTATTAGCAGATTTTAAAAGTAGGAAAATTTTTGCTCTTTATTTATCTAATTCTGAGGGATGAACACTTTTCATTAAAATCTATCGCCTAAAAAACTTATAAATTGTAAATAAACATGTTTTAATGAATTTCTTTTTGTTGCTTTTCGGAAAAGAAAAATGGTTTGTTAATTTATATTTACCATGTTAAAAATATTAGAAAATTTTTTGCTACTTCTTAAACTTGATTACAAGACATTATGTTTCAACTTAACTGAAAAAGAGATTAAATGTAAATCATATTCTGATTTCAGCAAACTTGTAGGATAGTATTGTTTGCAGCAGCGATACCGATCGATTTTTCTTAGTCTAAATCTTTTTTTTTATGTAAATCTATAATGTCTGCAAGTCTTAACTTTTTCAATTATATATAAATAGTTTCATGAAATTTTTATTATTTATATTGTTGACATTTAATTATTAGCAATTATTATTATTTTTAGTCTAGATTTAAAAATTAATATTACACTTTCAAGATTTGCCTCAATTTTCCTATTAAGAAAAATAATTTTTACTTTTACATTTCTGAATTTATTTTTACTCATTATGAAACAAAATGCATCTAAATGCATCAATTTTAAAATAACTCATTCCAATCATCAGAAATTACCTAAGCCCATGCGGTATCCATCAGCAAATCTTGTACTTGCATTGTGAAAAACGTCGGCACTATCTGTTCCTTGCAAGAATTTTTCAGCATTATTCACTAAAATAATTAAACAATAAAATGTTAAAAAAAAATTCATTTCTTCAGTATGAATATATTAACTAAAGTATTAATTTTCAATAGTGCATTTCACTGTAAGAAGAAAGACATTTTAATCGCAGATCAATACATTTGAAAACCACTATTTTATTTGGTTTATTTTATAAAAATTTTGATTTTTTTTTGTCTTATCAAATAAATTTATTTGTCAACTTTATATTCGCATTGAAATGCCATGCTGGTAGCTTTACTAGTCATGGATCATGGAAGCGTATTTAAATATTTCTATTCTTGAGATTGAGAAAGGTTTTTTTCTGGAAAAATGAAAGATTCATAATATTAAGAAACATATTCATCTTTTTTTACTTAAGAGTTGATCATCATAGTCTCAAAATATATAAACATTTTTTACTTTACCAACATAGTGCATAATACCGCTTTTTATTATTTTTTCTATTTTTTAAAAAAACTCTACAAGCATAAAATATTTAACTACTATTGTTGTGAATGTTGTCAAAAAGTTTAAGTTTATTTTTATCGATCTAATATCATTGAAATTTTAAAAAAAAATGTTGTTAACTTTTAAATGGAAAAAAAGTCCACTTAAGTCATGTTTACACCAGCCCCATAACTATGTGTCTATGCAAGCCTCACGAAGACATATGTTTGTTTATGCCTAATTTCAATTTATTGAAATTATACAAAAAATGAGCACAAATTAATCTAAAAATATGTAAAAAAACTGTATCATTTATACCATATTTTCATCTTCAGTTGAAATTCTGAAAATAAAAGAGCAAAGAGAAAATTTGAAAATTACTTTTGCACTTTAGGAACTTTCTTTTATAAATTTCAACTAAAGTGTTTTCGATTTGCTTAAACAACTGCGCATGGAAGTGTATACAAGTATTGCAAATTTACGATATATCACAGAAGAGATTTGACCAATAATTAAAAAAGTTATTCAAGATATATACTTTCGTCAAGTGCCTACATTAGCCTTCCTCTCACCTATTTGTAACCATATATATGTATTTAACACATTACACCTACATGTCTAGAAGGTTTCAAATTTATAAATTAGTATGCCTTTCAAAAATTTCAAAATTATTAATTTTGGTTTTAAGGGGCCAGTATTTTTATATTTTTCAAATACAATTTATTCCAGAACATACTTTCTTCAGTTACTATAACATCCGTATGTCCACTTCCAAAGCTGTTAATATGGTTTATTGCAGAATCCACGCTATCGACAATTTCAATTGCACATTCTAACGAACCATATTCTGTTTTCATTGACTTCACAAGAGGTGGTGAAAATGTTAAATGGCTATGTAGTCGTGGTCCTGAATAGACTGTTACCTACAAGGAAATGTAAAATGTTAAGTGTTTAGGAACAAAAAAATATGTTATGAAAATAAACTAGATATTTTCTCACGTTTTCTTTCTTTAGCATTGTACAAATTTCATTGAAGAACCCATTTTCTAAATGTGATCGATGGAGTAAAATTGTTTCCATGGCGTTAGAAGCTGCAGGATCGTCGCACTTCGAATCTTTTACTGCAATAAAAAAAATGTTTTGTAGAAAGGCATTTTTAAACAATAATAAATGTATAGAAACATGGGGAGGAATAAAACCGTGCCATTGTTCTTAAATCATACTAAGATACTATCATGATTTTTTCCTCTTACAAATTATTATGGAACTATTTATAATTCCATTCCAAGATTCGGAAAACTATAGTGACAAAATTGAGACTAGTATAACAAGTGAAAATAACATTACTCTAAACAACGAAACAATTAAAATTTTATATATGACCTTATTCTATGATCGTCTAATCTAACTAACACTGCAAAAACGCTGATGTAATATCTCTCCGAATTTGATGATGTCCAAGCAAGAAACAAAAATGTGCAGTAAAACATTTTATTTCAGGTTAATATCAAAGGGAGCTTTCATTTACAATTTAAAAGGTGCAATTTAAATCGAAACAATTATAATGGAATAAGCTTACACCAAACTCTTGAATTAAAGAAGCGAGAATTATTTTGATTTACGAAAACACCGATATTGGCGAGCGTGGAATATCGCCAGTAAAATGTTAATAGTGGAGAATTTAAGTCAGCGTGAGTTGGTTGAAGTCTTCATCAACCAAAATCTTCACTAACCGCTTTCGAAGTCTTCATCAACTAAAACAAAAGTTACTCTTTTTTCTACGTAAATTCAGCAACCATTATATATGCAATTGCACCATGTGCAATCCCACAATCCAACAGCAAAACTTCCAAACCAAACTTGGCAGACTTCCAATCACAACAGATTATTTTTTTGCTTCCAGACAAATAAAAACGCGATAAAACAAAAATTCTGTTTCGCTCGAATTTTCTCGGTATAATAAATATTTTCATTACATACACCAGCTAACTCGGGTTAATCAGGGATGCGATTAAGAGAAATATTATTATTCATGTGCTTTTTAAATTTTTTGAACATTTTAATACTTATAAACACTCATATTTTATTTCTGGTGGAAAAAAAATCTCTGTTCAAAACATTTTTTTTACTTTTCAGGGATAATTATTTCGTGGCCAGTTGTACTGCGTGGGATGCGATTATCAAAGACAATCCCTATCAAAACTACATGGAATAAACTAAAATAACCCCGAAACTATCTGAACGTAAAAGCTTCAGTTATTAAGATATAGATATGGACGTATAACATTTGTATGAAAGCATTGATACGTACTCATTTTTAACGCAGTTTCCCTTTCAGCGTATTCATCAATGTAAATGTGACAAACCCCTTCACTATGGCCCAAAACTGGAATGCCTTTGCTTTGTTTCTGAATATCCTTCACCATTCGGGTAGAACCACGAGGTATTACTAGATCTATGTAGTTCTCCATCTGGAGAAGTTCTCCAACATCGTCACGTGTTTCAACCTGGATTTGAAAGCAAGTAAAAATTACTGACAAAAGTGAAATAGTATTTTTGTATGCAATAATAAACTAATATAGCAATAAAAGGATTTTTCAACTCGGTTTCATATTACCAACGAAATTGCTTCAGACACTCCGTGGATTGATAAGGCTTCTTCTACTAATTTCATTATATAAGAGTTCGTGTGACTTGCTTCTTTTCCTCCTTTTAGAAGTAATCCGTTTGCCGAACTGATTGCTAATGCTGCTATCTAGATTATTAAAACAATATTATTCATTATAGTCTTCTCAACAAATTAGATAAATATTGTTAGCATGAGTGAGGATTTTTGATTGAGGAAGGAATGTTGTTGTAATCACTGTCTAACATGAATCAATGAGGAGCCGCAAAGCGGTAAGTTCATGAGAGAAATTTTTTGATTTCTGTCGAAGGCAATAGATTCGGTATAGGGTCAAAGAGCGAAGAGTTCAGGGTGACGAACGAGCTTTCCTCTTCAAGTAGCTAGATTAGAATGTAGTTGATAGAAATGTTTACCATATTCATGATTTTAAGCTTGTATTGGATTCTGAATAATCAATAAAATAAATATGAAAGTGCATGAATTTAATTGGATAAAGGGCTGGTTTGTAGTCATCATAAAGATTACTAAAAGTGAGATATAAAATATTTGCTTTCAAAATCTTTTTTATCTGATTTTTTTAAAATATTTTTTTTTCACTTTTGGCTTCTTTATAACACTTACCTCAAACATCTATAATTAGATTTATCATGTAATGTTACAAAAGTGAATGCAGCTTTAAATTATTTGACATGACTTACGGCTTATTTATAGATCAAGCAAATTTTTTAAAAAATGGAGCCTTAAAACATACTTTATAACATATTTTTTTAATGCAGTATATAAAAATTTTCAAACAGTTAATATTAGTTTCAAATAAATGTTAAAATTATCAAAGTAAGTAATAAATTGAAATAAGTAAATAATTAAAACAAGTAAATAAATTAAAGTAAGTAAATAAATCAAAATAAGAAATAAATTAAAATAAATAAATAATTTGAAATAAGTAAATAAATTAAACAATTTTGAAGGTAAAATTACAAAAATACAAATTTTAAGCTATCCGACTGAGTGAAAATCGCCAATTTCGGCGAAAATAATTTTTTTTTTCACTATCCATATTTCAACCTCAGTTCTTTAGCGTTCTAAAACTCTTTAAAAGTTTGTTCTTCGATTTTTAGAAATGAATTTCGGGTTGTTTTCTTTTCTTTCTTCCTTGGTAACCTGGCAGACATAACAATTCCCGAAACTAAAATGTTTTGTTTTGAGTATTTGAATCCTTATTTACTTGAATAAATTACATTTTTAGAACAAAAAAAAAATTATTCACAGAAATTAATTTTCTAATTTTTAATTTTTTTTAGTTGTTAGAATTTTCTTACCTTTCAGCATTTTCTTGCATTTTCTGACGAACGTTGATTTCGTTATGCTAACATACAGTTCAAAAAAAGAGTATTATAGAATTCTTAGAAATTTTGTATGCAGATTTTGTTTCAGGTTAGCTGCGTTTTGAATAAAAAGCTAAGATCAAAGAGTAATTTCGTTATTTTTATCAAACTTTAGAATTTTTCTTTATAAATTCAATACTAAACAATGTATTTTGCTCTATTTCATTGTTTTTTTTTTAACTTTGTAAGAATTTAGTTCAAACACAGGTAATTAAATTGTTTCATTTTCTCGAAGAAATTTAATTTGAAATTTATACATTACAACTTGTTGTGCAGCTATTAGCGTGACATGAAAAACTTTTATTTCTTAAGCTTTAATTCGCCCTTATTTTTAAAAAAAATATATTTAATTGTTTTTCAAACTTTATTTTAAATTTATCATTTTAAGACCCTTGCTCACCAAACATAAAATTTAAACAGTAATTGAGCTTTTTTAAAAAAATTGTCAAAACCAGTCGGATATCTTAAAAGAAAATTCAAAAGGTTTAGAAAATAGTTTATTTTGGAGTAGTTAGAGGCTGTAGAAATTAGAATAGTTTAAACAGCTGAGATAGAACAGAGTAGTTTGGAGCAGAACCTGAGATCTTGAAAATTAATAATGCGAGAATAGTAAATATTACTTGCGGTAAGCAGTCTGGTCTGCTTTCAAATATAACGAGAAGTACACCAATGGGAACAGTTATCTGATGAAGTTCCATGCCCTCTGCAATTTTAGTTTTTTTCAGCAGCTTGCCAACAACATTATGCGTAGTTTCAGCTATTTGCCTTAAACCATCAGCTAATTCATCCAATTTCTCCGATGTTAAACTGAGTCTGGAAAGTAAAGGTGCTGCAAGACCTGTAAAGATAATGTCATTACGTATTACGAATTATTTTTAGATTTTTATAATTGAAATACATGCAAAGGAGAGGATAAATGAAAAAAACAGATGATTTTGCATATTAACAATAGTAAACCGAGAGTGAATATTAAAATTTCACTGGGGTTGAACAACACCTCCTAGAAGAGTAGTAGTAGTAGTTAATTTACGTCGCACTAGAGCTGCACAATGGGCTATTGGCGACGGTCTGAGAAACATCCCTAAGGATGATCCGAAGACAAGCCATCACAATTTTGATCCTCTGCAGAGGAGATGTCACCTCCGCTTCAGTAGCCCAACGACCTGCACGCGAAGTCGAGTACTTTACGGTAGAACAGTTTAACGAGGACCGACACCGCACACCATCGGTCCCTACGCAGACTGATCCAAGTGGTCACCCACCCGCACACTAACCGCAGCCAGTAATGCTTGACTTCGGTGATCTGCTGGGAACCGCGTCTTAACGATCAGTCCACTGCGGGACCTCCTAGAAGAGAGAAAGTCTCAGCATGTGCCACGATAAACGAGTCCAAACGTTAGGCATAGCAATCCGAACGTTTTGACATATTTCTTATTAATCCCCACTGCGCAGTTTATGTTCGTTACGCCGGACTACTATATTTATCCGTACAGAGGTCTTCTTTCATCTAGGAGTTGTTGAGTTGCGGCTTTCGTGGCAGAGAGATATTTTCCTCCTGTCAAATGCTTTGAAGCGTAGAGAGAACGCTTAAGGCTTCTTTTCTCTCATTTATGCTGCTGTTTTTTTCTAAATGTGAGAAGATTGAAAGGTCATTCTATATATGGAGCACACAAGCCTGTTTATGACAGTAAATGCACAAAATATTACGTATATTGGGATAAGAAAAAACAAAGATAAGCCTTATTCTGTCAAATTTCTTTCAATTAGAGTCCCACAGTGACCCGATCGTAAAGACACAGTTTCCGGAAGAACACCGAAGTCAAGCATCACTGACTGCGGACAGTAAGCGGATGGGTGACCACTTATCAGCCTGAGTAGGGACCGAGGGTGCGTGGTATCGGTCCTCGTTAAACTGTTCTCCTATAAAGTGCTGGACTTCGCACGCAGGTCATCAGGCTACCAAAGCTGGGGAGTCATCCCCTCTGCAGAGGATCAAAATTGCCATAGCATGTCTTCGGATCATCTTCAGGGATGTTTCCCAGACCGTCGCCAACAGTCCATTGTGCAGCTCTAGTGTGATGTAAATAAAGTACCTACCTATCTTTCAATTAGAGCGTCGATACTTATCAAAGAATTATTTCACGGATGCATCATAACAAAAAGGGCAAGTTATTTCAAATAAGCAGTGCTGGTAGTTATAGCGAAAACATTTAAGGTCGTAAGTCATATTTTACAGTGCATAATATTTGTATGTAGCAACTCGAACCTTGTTTTTCAACCAGTAGCATTATGCTCTAAATCATTATTGTATGCGTTATCTTTATCAGGGTTGCTGAATCTCATGCCTTAATAGTTCGGTCTATATGAATTAATTTATTCAAAGTTGATCCAATTTCAACTAACCGATAATGTAATATTTGATTAAAAAAAGTACGATTCATTCTACGATTGCTTTGAAGTATGAATAAACAATATTTACTGCCATTTTTCAGAACCCTAGTTTCTTTCAACCACGCTTAAGTTTAGTAGATGCTTGCAGTTTTATTTAATCAAGCTCCTGTTTGGTGTTAGCATTTAAGTGTAGACTTCCTACATCGATTACGGAGCATGAACCTTATACCTTCGTGAATCGGGATTATGAATTTTCTGTCCTGTCGACATTTGATAAACACTTTGTTGTTGTAGTTGTAGTTCATTTACGTCGCAAACACTTTGCCTATATGCTCTAACTTAAACACAACCATTACTTTTCCTTCGATAGTAAGCGTCGTATTTTTTCATTGACCTAAGGCCTAAAATTCTTTGTCCCACAGTGAGCTGATCGTTAAGACATGCTTCCCAGCAGATCACAGAAGTCAAACATCACTGGCTATGGTCAGTGTGTGTGTGCGTGTGTTATCATTTTGATCTGTCTTCGAAGTGACTGAGGGTGTAGGGTTTGGGTCCTGTTAACGTAAAGTGCTTGACTTCGCAATAAGTTGGTCGGGCTGTCGCGGCTGGAGTGCCATCCCCTCTGCAGAGGATAAAAATTGTGATGTCATGTCTTCGGATCATTCTCAGGGATGTTTCCCAGATCGTCGCTAATAGCCCATTGCGCAGCCTAGTGCGACGTAAATAAACTGCAACTATAAGTATGATTTTTTTGTTGTTTTTTGTGTGACGGTCATCTGTTTATTTATTTATATTCTTAATTATGCAGACTTATTTTCGTATCACAAAGAATGGCTCACAAACTTTTGTCAAGTTGAAAAAGAACATGTAACATAAACTAGGGACGGACATCATCTTCTGGTTCGGCAGGATTCAAGCTCGGTACCTTCTCGTTTTAGAGATTTCAAGAAAAACGACTCTCCTCGGCCACGGAGGCCACTCTTTGTCATCTTCAGAATCATGCTCTGAAGAAATGAGCCTCTTACGACAAATTGAAGGCACCAAAATAAATTTTTCTATTGATTAATCAACTGTTTATTAGTCTGAACTATTATTTTTATGCGTGGAAAATCTTTGTTACATTATGATGAGATGAACTTCCGTTATTCTGTGATGTGGTGAACTTGTTTACTGATATAAAACTTGTTTTATGATGTGATGAACTTTCTTTACACTTTATGTTTTGGAGAAAAAAAAGAGAAATTCTTTGGACTTTCAATGAATCCTAATTTTGAAAGGTACGTAAGCTTAACTAGTTCTTCAAATATTTTCCTTGGATTTATTCATTTTCAGTCTTTTTCTTTGAATTTATTAGTTCTGCTCAATTTTTGTTTTTAACTTTCTTAAAAAAATGCGATGAAATTAGCTTGTGAGTCAATTTTAATGATATTGTAGATAAACAGAATTTTGTTTACATGTTTTTATACACGATGTAGTTTTCATTGAAAAAACAATTTTTAAATTATGTTATCCGTTTGAAAAGAAATCAGCTTATTTGAATTGCATTTTGTAAGACAAGGAATAATTAGTTATTACAATTTTCCATTATTACCAGTAAAAGCTATTTTTGCAACTTTCTGTGATATTTGCATTGAGAGTTTATATATTTTGTATCAGGAATTCTATAGAATTAGCTCCTGAGAAGACGAAATAGTTACACAGCTCGAGTTTTCTCTAAATGTCATGTTTCTTGATAATTTGTGTAAATTCTGCCCAGTATAGTATTGTACTCCTATTAAATTACATAGTGAGGAATAGAAAATCTGGTTTGTTAAATGTATATACCTAGGCAGCTAAATTTTACAGATAATCTTTATCAGATAAAATATAATATTTACAATTTAGCAACCACAAGATCAGTATATAAGTGAAGTTAAGAATATTTGGATTTCGAGTGAGAAAGTTGCAAATGAGATCGCATTAAAATATTTTATTTAGTTTTTTTTTCTTTGTCTGTAATATGTAAGGATCATTGCATTAACTTTGAGGAACTACTAAAATATTTTATTTAGTTTATTTTGTGTATGTGTTACATAAGAAACTTTGCATTAAACTTTCGCAATGAATACTAAACTGAAAAATTTCATATTTAAACGAAAATATGTTAACAAGCTTACCTGAAGCAATACTTTCACGAATATCATTTGCGTTTGCTTTTAATATCTGTTCCTTACGGGCCTCTAAAAGTTCAGCTAAGCTTAAAATTATTTCAGCTCGTTGGACTCCAGTAAGTTTAAGCAATTTTCGACTACCTTCTCGAGCTGAAATAAAATAAATAATATGAACAACACAAAATTTCCACAATTGTTATAGAGAATTGTTTCTAAAATTAGTAGGAAGAAAAGAAATCATGCCTGAAAAATTGAATCTGTTAAATACTAGTGTAGCGCAGTAAATTTTATATTTGATCCCTTACATTTAAAATATTTGTAGCTTTATTTTAAAAACAAAATGCACAGAAAGTTCCATAATGAGCATTCCTCACTATATAGTTTTTGAGTATCTGGTAAAATCCTAGTATAACGTTTGGTGCAATTTGGAAAAATGCCACCACACCGAAATGAAGCATTGATGCTTATCGCCAAACTGTTGGTACATCGGGAAAAAGTATACAAGGCAGTGGCACTAAAAGAAGACAAAACTGAAACTCAACTATTTAAAAAAAATTTCTAATCTAAAATGCAACTACAGACTCCAAACTTTATCGCCTTCCCAAACAACGCCAATGTCACCAAATATATACTGGAATTAAACCAAGAATCTTTTCAAAAGATAAACCAATAAATGTTCACAAATCAATACCAAAACTTAGAGAAAACAGAAATACTATTGAAATCGCGCTAACCACTGTTCTGAAAGACAGGATTGAAATATTAAAACTTGTTTGCCTCAGGAGATTTTGGGGTGTGGCTATTAGACACACATTTAAGTTTCAGCTGACAATCGAACTGGCTTTGGTCTTAGTTATTCAATCTTTCTCTCAATTTGACAGATTTCGATGGTCTTTTTTAATTATTTTTTTCTTCATTTATATTTATTTGTGACCAAATATTTGTATACGACTTTAACTTTTCTTTTTTGATAAGAATGCAAAAAATACATATAAGAGTGGTCATTATGGAACACCCTGAATATTTTGAACTCATCGTGAGTGCAAAATCTTGATAATTAATTCCGGTATACAAACCCTAAAATATTTTTTTGGTCACGTAAAGTTATCAGAGCTTCAAATAATGCCTTTTATCACTTCTTAGGTATTCATAATTTATTTTTAAATATTTTTTTCTACCAGAGCGATAAAATTAATTATTCCTAGATAAAAAAGACATTTTTTTCCAACTTAGTTTTTATTTTTAAAGGCGTGAAAATTTTATTTCTTCAAGAAAAAATAGACTAATTAAATTACTCAACAAAAACAAAAAATAACCAAACTTTTTAATTTTAATGGCATGGTCATAGTCTCCCTGAGAGCTTTACGTGTAAACTGGTAAAGATGAGACCTTTGCATATATCTGAAGGTAAATGTGAAGTTTGGACTAACCTATTATATTTCAATCTTTTAAGTTGATTTGTTTCGTTTTAAATAAGTTTTTTTGGTAGTCACTTCCTGATATTCTGTCTTGGCCATCTCAACAAATCAAATTTAAGAACATCACGATGCTTTTTTCACGTTTAAAAAGTAAGTTTTTAATGCTTGTGCAATGAAGAAAAGTATTTTTTTTTCTGTCGTAATAGAACTATTTTCAACTAACGCCATCTATTGTCGCAAGAAGGATTTACATTATTTTATTAAACGTCTACTGACAACAAAAATTATTTACAGTCAGACGATTTCCTCACAATTTAAATGATTTAACGAATTATTTTTTATTTTTAAGTTAAGTTTCTTAATTTTTAAGGCAATTTGCTTCAATTTTTTTTCATTGAATCACACATGTTTTAAAGGAATGTTATTGAAATAACTAAACACGCTTACCATTAATAGCATTCGTTTCCACAGTAACAGTCACGTTTTTATTATCAGTGAAAAACGTTCCGATTCGTTTACCTTGTACTATCTGACTTACTGCATGTTCATCTGTACCATTACAGATGACAACAGCAATACCACGTTCCAATGCCCAGCTTCCAGCGGCAACCTAAAAAAAAGTCATTTTAATATGTTGAGTTTTTTACATTTTCAATGCATCTGAGGAAATTTAATCCTTTGATCCAAAATTTTATTGTATATCTGAATAACGGTTATTTACATAGTAACCATTAATCAGGTTATTTTTTTTTAAATTTTGTTTTATTTATTTTTATAAGAAAATTGGTTTTACCACTTAAAGGTTTTACTTTACGAAAGCATGCTTGGTATTTTTTTCAGGTTAAATATTTCAGTAATATCAAAGTAAACTATTCAACAATAAAAAAGTTATTAAAATTAAGCATAATAAGTCAGCAAATACTACATGTATTCATAAACAACGTTTGTAATATTATGTTTTTTATGAGTATTTAGTTTGTTCACTGACTACTTATCTGTTTTTTTTCTTCTCTTTTTTCATAAATGAAAAACATAATGCTAAGATTTATTATTTACCCATTTTGACCCAACGTGAAATATACGTCATTGGAATTCTGAGAATTCTATGAGAATTTTACTGATTTAAAAAAAAGACTGCTCTTACATCAAACATGTGTTTTTTTATTCTTTTCAATAACCAAGAAGTAGCTAACAGAAAAAAAAAATATTCATTTCGTTAAAATAAAAAAAATCGTATTTCAATCAGAGCTTAGCGTCATGGCATATTTGAAAAATTATCTGTCTTTAATGGTTAAGTTATTATTAACCGAGCTTTTAAGGAAAATATTATGATAAGAAAAACATAATTTTTATAAAAAAAATTGTATCCAATTTATTATTTTGTTTTTAATTGCATTTTATATACTTAGTTATGGCATTCATATGTATTAAAGTACTTCAATTGTAACGTTGGTTATTTTGCATTTCATTTATTTGAAGAAAAAAACAAACATTGTGCATAAAAAATGTAGATTTCAAAATGTAGCCCTCATCGATACTTGTAAATATACTTAATAGCAATGTGAATTTTATTGAAATTGAAATTTCATGAAATGAATTTTTATTAAAAACGAATTTTCAATGAAAATTTTCTCTCATAATATGAAGATTTTAGCTATTCCTTACACGTATGAAACAGTTTATTTCAACTAATTGGATAAAAAAAAAGCTTTGCAATATCCTAAAGCTCTAGAAAAAATTAAAACTAACTTTTATTTCGTACCTCCAACCCTACACTGGATTTGGATAAAAATTACCGTGTATCCTAGTCCATTGTAGGCAGAAGCGGGGGTAAATAAGCAATATCATAAAAACACTAGATACAATTAAAACTAACTACCTTTGATTCCATACCTCCAGTCCCTACACTGGACTTCTGACCGAAATGGATATTTCCGTCTAAGAAAGGGCAGTAACTGTATAAAAATCGAGCACCATCTTGGCTGGGGGGATTGGTGTAGATACCATCTACATCGGACATCAAAATCAGCAGATCAGCGTGCATTTCAGCTGCTAAATGAGCAGCTAAGCTATCATTATCTTTAACATTTATTACTTGCTAAGAAAATACAGATAAAGAATTAATGGTTTATAATTCAGTTATTGGTTTTAAGATATAAAAAAATTAGATTTTAAAAAATATATATTTACCCCTTTTTCATCATACTTTGCATCACCAAGTGAGTAATCAACGTCAGGAATTGAAACGGTATCGTTCGTATTCACAATAGGAATGATGTTCAATGCAAGAAGCTCTAAAACAGTACTTTTTAAATTGGTGCGGCTGTCAGGGTTATAAAAATCAGGTTTTGTGACCAAGACCTAAAAACAATTCAATATTATGTGTTTTAGAACAAATTTATATTCATTTCTAGGTATTCAGATTTTTGTGAATCTCCGTTATTGTAACTAAAATTTCGTTGCATCTTTTAATATCAATATTTCTTTAAACATAGTATCTATAGAAAAAAAAATTAAATTTCGAAATGTAGACTTGAAACATGATCCTAAAGGATGAATCATAGAATTTGAAGTTTCAAAATATAAACTAAATCAAGAATAGGGAACGGTACTAAATCTAAAAGCCAGATGAGCATATCTTTTACTTTTTTAACTAGTGTTACAAATTTGTAATTATGTGAATAATTTCATGAATATTCTTTTCTTATGAGGCTAAATATCTCAGACTGACACAGAACAAACAGTTTAGTTAAAAGATTTGCAAGAAAGTTGCGTTATTCTAACGAAATTTAGAGAAAAATAACGTATTTCTTATGGAAGTCTCGTTTGGCGACAGTTTAGCTGACTTGACGATAATCTTGCCGACCATTTTGTTGACAGATAGATAGTTCTGGAAAATTCGAGTTCCAAAGCGATGTGTCAAATATTTACGGAGTTATACGAGAACTGTATAGATTCATTGTAAGTTACGGGGCTTCCCAGTCAAGCTTATAAAAATAGGGATGTGCTTTTTCAGAGAGTACCAGTCTGCTTATGATTGCCGTAGTGTTCTGATGTGAGAGCTCATTGAACCGCCAAAGGTTTCAATGCTTGGGATTTGTTGTGTACTGGACTGTTACTTGGACTGTAATTGAGTGATGGAAATAGCTGTATTTTCTGGAAGATTTTGCTAATAAACTTCTGGAGTCATAAAGACTGTTTCATTCATCCCCAATAGAGACGAACCTCTGTTCCCAAATAGTGTAAAATTCAACTGTTTACCTTTTAACTGTAAAACGTTTCCTTTTTAGAGTGTTCAATTTCATAAAAAATTACCCCGTGAATAAAGATATTTTTTGGCATATATATTTTTTCTAGATGTTGAAAAAAAATATGACAGTGAAGATTTGAACCCCCCTATCGTTTATTTCTTTCTCTATTCTTGTATACTTCTCTATCTTAGCAAACGTATCTTTTGTATAATTTTTTTAAAGTAAGAAGTATTTTTTGTGAGAAAAAACAATGAAATTAAATCTGATTCACACACAGCGTTTGCAAAGCGTCGCTCTTAGCGTAAATGTTTTGAATGCTTAGCGAAAGTTAATTTGCATTTAATTGCATACTGGATTAATAAATGATCATTTTAATCGCTGGTGTTGTGATTACGGAATATCCTCATGGCCAAATTGTATTATAGTTTTAGATTTTTGCAGATAAAATATAATTACTTGTGCTATATGTACTCCATACTGAGCAAACATGACGTCATAAAGTGCCATCAGTCCTTAAAGAGATTAGAGTATGAGTGCCATTGAAAATATAAAGCTTTTAAATAAAACAATTATTAAAATAAAATTGACTGTGATTCATATTCTACATGCATAATATATCAAACTATGTTAAAAAATTTTTAAACACAAAATCCTAAACTACTTCAACAGCTAAAGATGAGTTTTCATTTTTTAAAGTGATATATTTTTTATATCTTAGCCTAGTATAGAATGAAGTTGTAATTTTGGTACATCATTTTATTCAAGATTTTACGATATTGAGAATATTTCAGATTAAACTATCTTTAAACATAAAAGTGAAAGTGTATCTGTATGCTTGCTATTAAGGCTACAGTGGACACTCAAAATTATTTTGTTTAATTATAAGTCAATTTCTACCAAACTTGCACTTTAGATAATAGATCTAATTATAATTATAATAAGATTTCCAAGTTTTTATTTAGATAACTCAATAATTTTTTTAATTATTAAATTTTTAAAATTTAAAATTTATCAAATTTTAAAATGTTCCATGCGGCTTATTTTGGAATATTTTCTTATGATTTTTTTTACAATATATACTGAACTATTAGAAACACTTCTATGATTTGATTTTTTATATTAGTTTTTAATTTTATAAATGAAAAAAAAATTCAACATTTGCGAGCAATTTTCAAAAAAAAAATTAGGATTTTTAAAAATTAAATTATAATATAAAATTTAATTATCACCCAATTCATTAAAATGAATCATACGTTTATCAGGATTAACACTATAACTAGTTTGGCTTAGTTTAAACACCATACCTTAAAATGTGAACCGCCCGGAACATTTTGAAGTTGAGAAATTGCGAAAAAATAAAATTCTGAGAAAACAGCATTTTAAACATCAGGCTTACTATGTTTCAAAAGTTAGGTTATTAATTGGGTTAATATTCTTAGATAAAGATATATTAGTATTTTGACACAGGAATATAAAAGAAAATGTACATTTTTTATGGATATAATAAAGAAAGAGAAATAATTGAAAAGAATGAGCATTTTTGTGTTTTGTCGTCATTTTATGTTTATTATAAAACAAACTGTAAAATATAATAAATAGTAAAAAAAACATTTCTTGAAAAGGTAATGTGTTTCTGACAATTAACAATATCTTTGAATTTTTGACATTTTTATAAACCTGCAACATATGAAAATAAGTTCAAAAAAATTTGTAAAACTGCTCAATTATAAGTGAACGACAATATACTAAGATATAAAAATTTCAAGCAAAGCAAATATGTAAAATAGTTAGAGATTTTATCTTAAATCAGTAAAACTAATATGTTAATGCCTTCCTTTTTTATATTTGCATGATACATAATAAACAAAATTAAAAGCCTTTTATATAAAATATCTCAAATAAAAAAAGAAAACAAGCATTTTCCTTTTTTGTCCTGACTTTGCATATAGATAACAACACAAAAATTTCATGCAAATTTCATTTCTACTATCCATTATAAATATTATTATAAAAGTTTTTAAGGCATGAACAAGTTTAATTTTTCATTTTGAAATAAATAATATTTAAAAAAAGCAATTTAGAAAAATTAACAGGCTTTATCCACCTGAATAAAAAAAGTCAAAAAGCACCAGGAGCATATGCTGTAGTATCAATTTTGTTACTTTTAGCTTTTCGTTTTTTTGTTTGGCCACAACTTCTGCCAGAACTTCTCCTATTATCTTTACGCTGAGCAATAGCAAACGAAAAATTATTTTCTAAGTTCTCGTTACTTCTTTCTAGTTCCAATGCTTTGACGTGGCCCAAATTAAAGTTTTCAATGGCCTCACACACAGCAATCTCAAGTCTCTTTTTTGATACGGATACCTCTTTTGGACATTTCCTCCATATACAACTATGGAGGCTTTCGTTTAAATTCTGGGTCTTGCCAGCAACACACCGTTTTAGAATTTCATCAGACCCCAGCCTTTGGTAGACGGGCATAATTTTCTCTACAACTGCTTCTGAAAGGTACATCTTCATTTGGGAATGCTTTGGTCTGATACCTGTTACTAAATTTCTTTGATAAAAGCACCATGAAGATGCACCTTCAGGACACTTGCTATGTTTGGGTTTCGCATCTGTGGATGAACAGTACAGTAATGATGCATACACAGCCGTCTTCATTTTATTTATATCTGGTGCATTATCTTTTATCGCTTTGCGATAGTAATTTTGTAACTTCATAATGCCACCATCAGTCAAATTTCCCTTCTTACGGCCACCTAAGGTAACCTTTTTTATGCGCCACTCTTTCACTCTGTTCCATAGTGCAGTACCTAGTCGCTTAGCTACGTGATTTAAACATTCTTCCTTGGCGATTTCTATGTCCCCATAAATTTTATTTTCTGTGAGAAATATAAACGTCTTGGAATCTCCATCACTTAGCATTGATGTGTAGCGCATACTACATTCACTTACTGATCGAGACCACATTATCTTCGCAGCATACATTTCCTTGGAACCAGAACTCCCTTCAAAATTTTTTTCGCATTCTGACAAATGTCCACTTTTCCACACCTGATACTCAACAGAATCAGAACCAAGATCACTTGCTGTCATGGTACAGTCATGGCAATACTTTGAGAGGATTTCATAATCAATTACCAATCCTGTGAGGATGTCGATTACAATGCCCATGCCAGATTTGTGCCATCATAAGAAACACTGATATTTAAAATATCATCGGCTTTTAGAGATGAATCCACATTCATGTGTGATTCTTATCTGTCACGAGCACTGGAGCATTCGATTTTTCACTTCTTTGTTTTTTATGGATAAATTGTGTAAGCACTTAGCAAAAGTTTTCTTATCCATCGTGGGCATATTTAATATTGCAGAAAATCTCTCTAAGGCTGCATGTCCTCGTCCAATTGAAAGAAAGGCATTAACAAGTTTGTTATTTACATCAAACGCTGAATTGCTATCTTCTCGAATGGCCAAAAATGGCTTTTGCGCCAATAATACTTAATTAACTAACTAACTAACTATCTTCTCGACGGCTTGAGAATTGAGCCATGAGACTCGCCACAGGATTGACATACAAGTTCAACTTTTATCGAGTAGCCAAGTGACTGGTGTTGCACAACACTTAGATTGCACTGCTCACAAGTTTTACATGGCACTTCCATGAGCAAGTCTTTCCACTTATCTTAACTAGTCAGAATATAACTTGCCTCTGACTTTACAGATGAACCCACAACAGATACATCAGCGACTGATGAAAAACTTGATATACTAGTGGAAGGTGGATCAAGAGCTGCAGCATCAGAAATTTTCTGACGATATTTTCTTGAAATATCTCCCAACATACGGCGTCTTTTAGTTGGACGGCATTTGGGTTTACGATATTTTGTTGATATCAAATCCATTTCTTAGATATAAAAAGTGAAAAATAACAACGTAGTAAGTTTTGACCAAGAAAAGAACAAAGCAATAAGAATGAGCAAACAAAACAATAAGAACAAGTAACAAAATAAAAACAAGAATAGCACAAATAACTCTACGTTGCCAGATTTTTATTTTTGAAATTAAACATGATATCAAATAATAAAATAAGGATTTTCTAATAGAATATAGTTCCTTAGAAAGAAGCTTTCACACTGGAAGTAAGATTGCATAAGCGTTGGTGTTTGACAGCTAGAGGGGCATGGCACAATGTAAATAAAGGGGAGTGGCACCTACAAAAAGGCTTAACTCAAAAAATAATTAACAAATTTAAAAAAAGATTTCTGATAATGATAGAGTACCTTAAAATGTATCCAAATTAATTAAAAACAAAAAATAGATTTTTTTTTTTTGATAAATTTCTAGGATTTTAGGTGTCCTCTGTAGCCTTAAACTTATTTCGGTCAACAGCTTTGTTATCAGCAATAAGAGAAATTACGTTAAAATTTGCTTTATGCAAAATACATAAAGCTTCTCTCGTTAGACGGAGAAGATCACAGGCACTAAGGCCACCACTTCCTCGTAAGGGGAATATATCGAAGCAATCATAAATGCTTAAATGGATGTAGCTTCCACATTTTCTTTGTTCTCTGAAAAACCAGTAATTTGATTAGCTTTATACGAAATCTTTGGCTTGATGTAAATTTCATCAAGTGACAAATTTACGAGCCTTTCATTTTCAGTAAGCTTCTCCCATTTGGCTTTTATATAATGGATATTATCCTCTACTGTTGTGCTACAGTTCAAGCTTAACACATTTAGCAACTTTTTAATGGAATCCACACAAGGAAGTGTCAACATTTTACAATTTAATATTGATCTGTAACAGGATGGGGACACAACAAATAAAGATGCAGCAAAGCGATACATGTCGGTACTGTATCTCCTGGAGGTCTTAGGCTTTAATGCCAATTTTAACTGCTCACAAATGAATATTAGTTTTTTTTTCTTTTCACAATCTGAATATTGATCCATTAACTTGTGAAAGTGAGCTATAATTACATCTAAATCATTCACTTCAACATTTGTTTTTGAGGCGCTTTTAACCATGGACACAATGTTTTCTAGTTGGCTCCAAAAAGTTAATACGCCATTACTTAGAAGATGCGAGTATTGTTTGGAATCTAATTCCTGCGAGCCAATAAAAATTTGCAAAGATAAAGAAGGTGCAATCTTTATACTCTTAACAACTTCTGGGCAGTTATCAAAATCCATGAAAAGAATAAGTGTAATGTTTTTATTTGTTTTTAAGGCAAGGACATCGTCTGGTAGTTCGATTTTAGATTTAAACAATGAATTAAAATCATCAAATGACTTAATTCTGTCATTAGCCAAAAACTCATTAAATTTCCTTTCATCAGTTTTTGCTATCTTTTCATCTCTGCTCATTCTTTTAGATGAAGAAACTTCGGACAAATATTTTGGGCAACCAGGAAATAATGTTGGTATCGAACCAGCCTTCAATTTCGGCCGACTTCTTTGAACTTTAACCAATTCNGTAACTGTATAAAAATCGAGCACCATCTTGGCTGGGGGGATTGGTGTAGATACCATCTACATCGGACATCAAAATCAGCAGATCAGCGTGCATTTCAGCTGCTAAATGAGCAGCTAAGCTGTCATTATCTTTAACATTTATTACTTGCTAAGAAAATACAGATAAAGAATTAATGGTTTATAATTCAGTTATTGGTTTTAAGATATAAAAAAATTAGATTTTAAAAAATATATATTTACCCCTTTTTCATCATACTTTGCATCACCAAGTGAGTAATCAACGTCAGGAATTGAAACGGTATCGTTCGTATTCACAATAGGAATGATGTTCAATGCAAGAAGCTCTAAAACAGTACTTTTTAAATTGGTGCGGCTGTCAGGGTTATAAAAATCAGGTTTTGTGACCAAGACCTAAAAACAATCCAATATCATGTATTTTAAAACAAATTTATATTCATCTTTAGTTATTCGGATTTTTGTGAATCTCTGTAATTGTAATTAAAATATCATTGCTACCTTTTAATATTAACATTTATTTAAACATAGAAATAATGTAAATTTAAAATAAAATAAAAAGAATAAAATAAATAGAATACATTCATATAAATTTCAAATTTATAGATTACATTAAAATAAATTTCAAATTTATGGATTACATTAAAATAAATTTCAAATTTGTAGAAAAAATGTAAATTTCAAAATATAAGCTTACATGATTTTAAATGATGTATCATAGTATGATGAATTTTAAAACATAAACTAAATCAAGAAAAGGAACGCTACTACTTCTAAACATCAGATTAGCATTTCTTTATTAACTATTGCTACGAATTTTTAATTATGTGTATAATTTTGTGAATATTCTTTTCTTTTGAGTCTTAATATCTCAGATGGATACATAACGAACAGTTTAGTTCAGTTAAAAGATTTGCAAGAAAGTTGCGTTATTCTAACGAAATTTAGACGCATAACGTATTTTTTATGAATGACTAGTTTGGCGACATTTCAGCCAACTTGACGGTAATCTTGCCAACTTATTGACCATTTTAGTGACAGAATGATAGTTCTGGAAAATTCGAATTTCGAAGCGATGGGACTAATATTTACGGAGTTATACGAGAATCGTTTCGAATCATCAGTTGGCTGAAGTTACTGGATTTCCTCGCCAAGCCTATATAAATATATATATGTATCCTGTCAAAGAGTAACAGAGAGTATTAGTCTGCTTGGGACTGCAATAATGTTCTGATATGAGAGTTCATTGAACCCAATGAGGTTTCAATGCTTGTGAGTTGCTGTGTACTAGATTGTTACTTGAACTGAAATTGAGTGCTGGAAATAGCTGTATTTTCTGGAAGATCTTACTAATAGAATTTTGGAGTCATAAGAACTGTTTCATTCTCCTCTAACCAAAACGAACACCTGTGCTGTGTACACTATTGTATTTCTTAGGAAATGACATTAATACTTATGGAAACAAACTAGTGGTGTTCAAACAAAAGTGCTTTACAAAATCTAAAAACAACATTTTCTTCTATAACAAAAATTCATTCAAATAGTGTAAAATTCAACGTTTTACTTTTTAACTGTAAAACGTTTCCTTTTTAGAGTGTTCAATTTCATAAAAAAATTGCCCCTTTAATAATAAATGTTTTACCAGTGAAGAATTTTTGATTTCAAGATGCTAAAAAAACATATCACTGTGAAGATTTGAAGAACCTACTAGAACCTTTATTTCTTTTTCCACTCTTGTATACTTCTCTATCTCAGCGATTATATTTTTTGCATAATTTCTTTTAACGTAAGAAGTATTTTATGCAAAAAAATAAAAATAAAATTCAATTAAATCTGGTTCACGCACAGCGTGAGCTAAGTATCTCACCCAGCATAAATGTTATGAGTGCTTGGCGAAAGTTAATTTACATTTAACTACACACTGGATTTACAAAATGATTATTTTACTGACTGGTCTTCTAATTACAGAATATCCTCATGGCCAAACTGCATTTGTGGCCAAGTCCTGGGCTTTATGGTTAAGGGTTTTGTATAACCTAGGTACATGCTCAGGGCTTGGAGGAAAGGAAAGGTTAAACTGCATAACAATTTTAAGATTTTTGCAGATAAAAATATAATTACTTGTGCTATATGTACTCCATACTGAGCAAACATGACGTCATAGAGTGCCATCAGTCCTTAAAGAGATTAAAGTAAAAGCGACATTTAAATTACAAGGCTATCAAATAAAACATTTATTAAAATAATATAGACTGTAATTCTTATTGTGTATACATATATATATATATCAAACTATTTTAAAAATATTTTTGATTTAAAATCCAAAACAACTTCAATAGCTAAAAAGAGGGGCTAAAATCTATTGAAGTGACATATTTTTACCTATAAATTTACCTTGCATAAATTGAATTTGTAATTTTAGTAAATCATTTTCTTCAAGATTTTATGACATTGTGAGAATATTTCAGATTAAATTAACACTTTAAACATAAATTAGTCTTTTTGTGTGTATGCTTGCTAATAACGAAAAACAAAGAAAACTAATAAAAAAAAATTTTTTTAGGAGTTTGTAAGTTATGTAGGCAGTTATGGGGTGGTTAGTAAATAATTACTACTTTCCAGTGTCATGTCATTCGTTCACAATATCCAAAATATGAATGCTATAAATAAAAATATCGTAAAAATTATAAAAATATTCCAACTTTTAAATGGCAACAGAGGCATTGACCCTAAATAAACTAAATGTTTATGTGCTCGTATATATGGCCTAGATCAGTTCATTTTCAAATCCCAGATCTAAATATTATGTGAAGACTGTAAGATCTAAATATTATGTGAATGTAAAGACTATAAATTGTTACTTGAATACTCTTTTAGCGTAAATACTCATTTACTTGGTTATGCTGTCTTTTAGCTCTTCAGCAGCGTCATTAAGATAAATTATTTTTATGAAATTAATTTTTTGCTTTAAAATATACCATTTACTGTCTTTGATCTGTGTATTTATCTAACCAAAAGAATTTATAACGGTAAAAATTCGGTTTGGGGAAAAATAATCTTTACAAATGGAATAAAATCTAGCAGCCAGTAAACGATTGAAACTTGCATTGTCATCCAAAAAATCTCCCATTAAAGTTAAATCATTTTAAATTGTCATTGAAAGTGGTTAAAAAAAGTTTGATTGATGGCAAATTCTTTTTAGCGATTTTACAACTGTAAACTTTTTAGTGGAGAAAGCAATCTAAATTGTTATGAGTCAGGGAATTTGTGTTGAAATCTGATTCATAAGCTTAACGGGAAAAGCTTGTTTGGAAATCGTTCAAAAAAAAAATAAATAAATAATTTCTGTTATTAGACGAAAATAAATTCCATTTTAGCAGTTATGGAACAATTGAAATTTGTATTGTTATCAGGCACAAAGATGTAGCTTGAATTTGAGTATTCTTGGGAGTCGTAAAGTGGTCGTTAAAATTTCAATTGCAAGTTTTAATCCTCACAGGCCTGAAATCAAGTTTCTATAAATGTAGTAAAATTCATTACTTACCTGATTGTCCAACGGCTGCAGCTGCTCGAGGTTCTGGTCTGACGACTCCCTATAACAGATAATAATTTATTATCAATTATGATAGAAAAATAAATAATTTTTAATAAGATCTTATTTTTTTTAGATTAAGATGAATAATGAGGAATATATAGCGATGAATCTATAATAAATTAGTAAAAGTGCTTTTAAATAATCACCATTATAAAATACGAATAAAAAAGTGGAATGTACATATTTTAACTGGATAAATAAAAGTAAAACTTTAATATAAGAATCAATCTTAATAACATTGCTGAAAATTGGTGCCCATTTGTCTTGCACTACTCAAACAGAGCAATCAAATCTTTAAATACATCCAAATTTAAATCTAATATCAAAATCTCTAAAATAAATCTAATATCAAATTTAAATCTAATCTTTAATATTTTATTCTAAATCTAATATCAAATTTAAATCTAATTTCTAATGTTTAAATTTAGGTTTAATAATCAATTTAAATATAATATCTAATGCGATATAATATCCATGTAAACCGTATGCAATTTATGGGATGCGGAAAAAAAATAAATGAATTAGTTTAATTAAATTTTCTTTTAATTACAAAACAAAACTATTCCTGGCGTTTAAAAAGCATTGTTAAAATTAAATTCGAATCTAATGTCTAATGTAATATTATATCCATCTAAACCGTATGCAATATATAGGATGCAGTAACAAAAAATTAAATTAATTTAATTAAATTTTCTTTTAAGTAAAAAAACTCTTCTTGACGTTTAATAAGCCTATTAACCAACTAATTTGATTTTTCAAGAATCTTGTTTTTTTATTATTCAAGGAAATAAAATAAAATAAAAGATGTCTAAAAGCATCCTTTAATATGCTTAGAATTACAGTTAATTGAAAGGTCTTTCAAATTTTTAATACATTATAAATTTATACAGCTTTATTTGGCCAAGAAACATTAATTTTGTAACATTGAAATACGAATGTCACGTTCAGTAAGCAGAAAACATGCATTACCTTTGCATTAAAATAACCCATTATTCAAAACTTACTTGAACTAGAGATTTATTTTGTGAAAGTGTCTCTCTCATAGACATAGACATCCTCATTTCAGCATTCAGTCTTTGCTTTCCGAATGCCACTGCTCCACTGGTAACCATTAGCATCTCTTAGTCTGCTTGGGACTGCAATAATGTNTTGTAAATATTACATAATACAAACTCGAATAGTTGTAAATATATAAAAATTCCTTCTACTCTTATTCCCATGTATGTCTAAATGATTATCTTAAGACTGTTCGTACTTGATACTTGTATTCGAAAACTAATATGTATTACCCCGAATATTATATTCCTGATCTCTATTTTTTTTTATACATTCCATATTATATATACCACTACTTTTATATATTATATACTTACATATATTATATATATATATATACTTTTTTATTTTAATTTTTTGGCAAAATATTGTTATTTTTACGTTAGCTGATCTATGGAAGTCGGTATTTTTTTTTCCTGTGGAAAAGAGGAAATTTTCTAGCAAGGGTTAAATTTTGAAAATTTCTCTATATTTTCTACCTAATTAACGTTCAGATTTATATAATTTTGACTGCTTTGTTTTCCTATGTTTTATAAGCTCTTCATCGTGTCCTTGAGAATGTGTTGAAACTCATCTTTCAACCTCGTCAAAAAACTAAATCATGCTCGGTGGACTAGCCACCATTGCAAGATCAAGTGATGCAACTACATGATGATAATCCATTGGAAATATTGCAGAGGGAAACGTTTTGAAAAACGACGGGATTCTACAATTTGGAATCGTTCTTTTCTGTTTCATAGTATCTGACAATGTTTGTTGTGGTTCCAGAAGCAACTAAGAAAAGTTTTTTTCTTAGTCAACAAGGTTATCGATGAAGTTTAACGTTTTTTCTAAGGCATAGCGGAAAGTAGAATGATATAGGCACAAAATCCTAAATTTTTTATATTCATGACGCAGCATCTACAAACGTGAAAACTATGTAAAGACATCTATAAATGCTTTACTTTGACCCATTAGGTGCCAAAACTTCCTCGATGGGAACAACTTCGTTTTATTTTTTCCTGCTTCTTCATCACAGATTAATTTAAATTCTATAAATGTATCACTAAATAAAAACTGATAATCTTATGTTAATTTCTGTGAGAATGAAAATATTAATTAAGTATTCAAATTTGCAATAAAAATAGGCTGAGTGAGAAAGCTGTGATTTTTTTTCCCATTCAATTTTTTGAACGCAATCTTTAAAATTAAATTCTACTCTAATGGTGAAAAGTCTTTAGGAGTAAGTCATCTTCAATATATGTCAAAAGCTGATTTTAAAAAATGTTACAAATATTTAATAATGACCTCCCTGTTCGTCAGTTCTGATATGGAAGCTTTTATGAGAAGTATAAAGGGACGCGCAACAAAAATATTAATTAATTTTTTCGTATAAATCCCCCTTACGTGGAAGACGGCGCTGCAGATTTTCTTAGCATCTGTAGATTATTTCCTTTCTCATTTTTTAAAAACGACAAATGGGGAAAAATTTTGATCAGAAAAAAACCCGAGTACAAGTAAAAACTAAGATAAAAAGAAATATTTTTTCTATTTTCACTTATGAAAATATAAGATAGTTTTTTTTAATTTAAAATTTGGTACCGAAAAAAAGTCAATTATTTAATGCTTATTTTTATGGGTTTTTTTCTTGTCAGCAAAGTGCCTGTAATGGTATATTAACGAATTTCATTTGAAGAAATTTTAAACAGGCACAAATCATGACACCGCAAATTGCAGTTTTCCCTATTTCTTCTTTTAAAATAAAAAAAAAGATTTATTTTCAATATAACCAATAACAAAGCTGATTGTATTAAATTAAAATAATATTTGAACACAGTTTTTGTTTATATCATAATTATATTTAATCTTTGCAAATTGTGCTAAATATGTCAGATTAAGCTAATTTTTTTATAATAATAATCTCTTCCTCACTGCGTTGAAGTTGTAGAATTTTCGAAGCTAGTGCTATGGATTGACTCTGCAGATTCTCATGGAATTAGCATATTTAAATGTAGTATTTCGAAATTATTTAAAAAAAATATTGCCATTTGACAAAATGGAACCAATTTGAAAGCAGTCTTCATAATATTTAATATTTGCAAATTATGCTAAATATGTGAGATTAAGCTAAGTTTTTATAAAAATAATATCTTCTTCCCTGCGTTGAAGCTGTAGCCTAATTTGAATTTTCGACGATAGTGCTATGGATTGACTCTGTGAATTCTCAATGAATTAGCATGTTTATCATTAATTGTAGTCCTTCGAAATTATTTTAAACAATATTGTCTTTTGACAAAAAGGAGCCTAAGAGGTTTTAAATTGATGTTTATATAACAAAAAACAAACAAACTTTTGTATTTGTGAAGAAAAAAAAGATTTCAATTTAAAAAGAGATTCATATTTGGAGTTAAATTTTTGTTTAATCTATAGCTATCATTTAAAAACAAAATGTGAATAAACATTTTTCTTTCTCTTTGAAATAAGTTCAATTTACTGACCTGTTCCACAATTGACGCTAATCTTCCCAATGCAACTCCAGATTGATCATTTTGTGTTATGACAGTTGAACCAAGTTTGACGACAATTCGTCGAGCATCTCTTAATTGACTTCGGTATCTCAAGGGTCTTTGTTTATTATCTTCTACATCTAGTTCTTCGTGGATGTTATCTCTAATTGCTGTGAGACCTCGACGGTTACTGTGTACTAAACGGGAGTATATACGAAACGATTTGCTGGTGTTACATAAAAATATCTTCAACATTGTGGTTACCTATAAAGGAATCGTCATAAAATTAACTACTGTTTGTAGTTTTCAAAAATTTACAAAGAGCCGAGAAAAAATAATATTTTAAATAACCTTTGGTAAGTTCAAACTTAATCATTCAAATGGTAGAATTCAAGTAGGTCAATAAACTAGACTAGAATTAACTATGAATTAGATTTGCTTCAGGCAATTTTGCGTATAAATTGTGTCTTATCTAAGTAAACATCAATATTTTGCTATTCAAAATAATGAGAAATAGCCTAACCCTCTTAAGTTGAAAGACAGAAATCTGTATTAAAAATAAGGGTTATTCACATTAATTATAAAACGAAGATTTACGATGGTAGAACTCACATGAGCTATTTTTCATCATGATAATGCTCGACCACACACAGCAAAGGTATAAGAGGAAAGCCTCTGCATCATATTACCATTTTTCTATGGCCTACTCGATTCCCAGATTTGTCTCCAAAGAGCATAATTTAGACGACAAGTTACGGCAAGTTAGAAGACCTCCGAGTTTAGTCGATTTAGCGGTCTTTTTATAGCAACTGTAAAACGAGAAGTCGCAAGACATCATAAGGGAGTCCTACATTCGTGCTAGAGATGGTGAAAAGGGTACTGAAATCTCAATTCATTTGTAATTTTTTTCTGGCATAAAGGATCATTGTGCTTTGATTTTTGTAATCACTTATATCAACATTGAAATTATATATGCAAAATTTCGTTTTATTCTGACACTTTCAAGATGCGCTAATTTTTCGGCAGTAATATAGATCAAAATTTATTCAAACTAATACGTTTTCTTGGTTGGATCTTTTAATTACTTATTTATATCAACGTTGTAATTACGTAATTGAAATTTCGTTTATTTTGACAACACTTTTGAGATGTGCTACTTTTTATGTCAATTAGCATAGATCAAAATTTATTCAAACTAGTACGTTATTTTGGTTTGATTTCTGAATCACTTATTTTTTTATCAACTTTGCAATTATGCATGCAAAATTTCGTTTTATTTAGACAACACTTTTAGACGCGTCATTTTTATGGCAATCAGTATAGATCAAAATTTATTCAAACTAATACATTTTCGTGCGATTTGCTAGTCTGATTTATTGACGTGACTTTTGTTTGTCACAGTAGGTAGCAATGTCATTTTTTTGAATTTCAAAATTCTTTTAATTCCAAAATACATTAAAATTAACGTAACAACCATGCTTGTTATTATAAATAAAAATTTGAAGCTTAGGAATGTGTGTTTAACTATAAGAAATAAATATTTTCGATTTGAAAATGTCATCAATTTTTAGGAGCTGATACTAACACATATAAGTATAGTATTTGTTTTAATTATAATTCATGGTTTCTTATGTTTTAGTATTGACCTTAATAAGTGTTTTTTATGTAAAAGGCTTCATTAACTAAATAAGTAAAATGATTCCCGAAAAATTAACTGTTAGATTTTCTTTTGATTAAATACTTCCCATCCATACTTCCCTTCCATACTTTACATAAAAATTAACTAAATTTTGAAAAAAAATACTGTTAATCAAATAGATTAATCAAGTAATGTAATTACTACTAAACTAATTGTGCTAAAAATATGACACCTTTAGAAAATATTCAACTCTGATTATACTTTTGTTTTGAAGAAATTAATATATACAAACATCATAAACAAGAATTTAGCAACGAATTGTTACTTATCAAAATGTCTGACCTTGTAAGTAAAAATATCGAATAAATTTATTTTAAGATAAGAGGGTTTGATAGACAGAACAATTGTTTCTGTTTTATCATGGAAAACTCACGAGTAACTATGTTTTCACTTGCCTATTGTATACACATGCTGTTCTAATGTAATCGGAAATAAGCATTGGATTCTTTAAAATCTTAAACTCTCCACTGAAATATAATTTACTTGCCTCTTGAATGATTAAGATTTTTAGGAATTAAAATATTCATTACTTACAGCGTTAGTCTTTTTAATGAACTGATGGTAGACTTTAGTTGCCCAGGTTTAGCAATAATGTTACGTAGAGTACGCCACAAAATAAACGGATCAGCCTAAGTAACTTCTGATTCAATTATCGGATCTTTACGCTCTGGGAGTCAATGTTAATAATTAGTGCAGGCAATTTTTAAGCTATAAAATCTGACACAAAAATGTGCTTTCTCTGAATAAACGTACCTTTTTTTGGATGAACTCGGATTTCTGACTCCCAAAATATAGTGGGTAATCGCAATCTGGGTAAAATGGTCCCAATAATTTTTCAAGAGAGCGGTCCAAAGTTTGGACCCTTTAACCTTACTTTTTACGTATTTC